CCCCCAGAGCGACGCGAAGCTCTTCCGGAGCCGCGGCGTCGCCGTCGCGTCCGGCGCCGCGAGCGACCCCAACTGGTCCGTGCCGTCGCGGAGGCTCGTCGCGGCCGCGGAGGCGGCCAAGGAGCGCGTGCTCCTGGGTCTGGGCGAGGAGCGCGAGGTCGACGAGCACGCGGCCAAGGACCGCGACGACGACGAGTCCTACGAGCCCGCGTCCGAGGCCATGAACGCGCGGCGACGAGCGTACGCGGCGCGGCAGATCGCGCGGGGCGTCGCGCTGGCGGAGAAGGCGCCGCGGTTTTTGGGTTGCCTCAGCGCCGCCGAGGCGGAGCAGTCCTGGCGCAACCAGCTGCGGCGCGAGGCCGGCGCGGTGAAGAACGACGCGCGGAAGCGCGTGCAGCGCCGCGCGGACGACGCGCGGCGGGCCTTCGCGGGCGCCGCGGCGGCCATGGCCGACGCGCGCGCGCGGCGGCGGCCGGGCCTCGCGCTGCAGGCGGCGCGCGACGCCATCGCGAGCTTCCACAAGTCCGAGCGGGCCCTGACCAAGGGCGAGGTCGCCCAGCTCTACGCGTTCCGCGCCGAGGCCGCGCTGAACGTGCAGCTCGCGGGCGAGGCCGTGACGGCCATGAAGCACTGCGTCCACGGCTTCCACGGCGACCCCGTGCCGCCGCGCTGGCGCTTCCTCCTGGCCAAGTCGCTCCTCGTCAAGGGCGACGTGCGGCCCGCGCGCCACGAGCTGCGGACGCTTTTAGACCACGCGAAGGACGACGAGGACACGAAGCTCTACACGAAGTGGCTCAATCTCACGAAATGGAGCGGCGTCGACGAGTCCACCTCGAAGCTGAGGCGCACCATGGCCTTCGAGGACGCGCACAATTTAGCGAAGCTCCAGAGCATGCAGCAGCAGTTCGCGAACTACGACAGCGGCCAGTACGCCAAGGACCACCGGAGCCGCGAGGAGCGCCTCGCGCTCCAGAAGATGATCGACGACGCCGAGCGGGCCATGGCCAAGGCCGAGGAGAAGCCGCCGGAGTACGAGAGCTTCTACGACTGGGTCACGGACAGCGACTCGGAGGAGGAGGACGACATCGGCGTCTTCCGCCGGCCGAAGATCCTGCTGGACGCGGACACGCTCGTCTCCATCGTCGTCAAGAGCGCCCTCGCGCCCCTCGAGGTGCGCCGCCACGACATCGAGTCCGCGGCGGCCGGCGTCGCCGCGGACAACTGGCACCGCACGGACATCAACCAGGCCGCCGTCGCCGCCAAGGCCGCGCTGCCCATCGCCTGCGAGATCGCCGTCGACGCCTGGTGCCAGATGTACCCCGGGGAGCTCGGGGCCAAGGAGGCGAACGCGCTCGAGGCCGCGGCGCTCCGCATGGCGGTAGACACGTCCGCGACGCTGAGCCTCGCGCGCAAGGAGAAGAAGCGGCACCGGGCGACGTTCATGCAGGAGGTCGGCGTCGACGAGCTGCCCGTGCGTTTATTGTCGGCGACGACGCCGCGGTCCGTGGGCCGCGTCTTCGGCAAGGCGGAGACGTACTGCGTGCTACGGGTCGAGGAGCGCGAGGAGGTGCCCGAGGAGGAGGACAAGACGAGCTTCGGCGAGTCGAATTCCCGGGCCATCGCCGCGAAGATCATCTCGATCTGCGACGGCAGCGACGCGTCGTCGGGCGGCGGCAGCCAGCACCGCGACCACGTCGTCTCCGTCGCGGAGCTCAAGTCCGCGCTCTTCCGCTCCGAGTTCAACGGCTTCGTGACGTGGCTCATGCGCAACGAGTCGTCGGTCTTCGCGGCCTTCGACAACGGCAACAGCAAGACGCTGGACTACGACGAGCTCATCTACGCGATCGAGCTCTACGAGTTCAGTCTCCGCGAGGAGATGGACGAGCAGGAGCGCGCGAAGGAGAAGGAGGACCAGTCCCGGGAGACGGCGGAGGACCGCCGCGCGTCGCGCCTCGCGCGGCGCGAGACGAAGCGCGCCGCGGAGGCGGCGAAGGCGCCCCCGCCCGTGCGCCACGCGGCGGGCCGGCTCCGCGTCGGCGACGTCGCGCCGGCGCCCGTGCCCGCGCCGACGGCCGACGAGGCCCAGGCCCTCGAGGACGCGGCGACGACGCTGGACATTCTGGCCGTGAACACGATCACGAGCCGCGTGCGCTTCGCGGAGGACAACGAGGAGGACCTCGACTTGATCCACTGGGAGGTCGGGCGGACGCAGAGCTCCAAGTCCAGGGCCGTCAACGCGCCGGCCTACTTTGGGAACCTCTACTCGCTGCCGCCGCCCATCGAGACGAACGAGTGGTGGCCGCCGAACAGCAAAGAGGAGCCCGCGAAGTGGATCTTCGTCGTCGAGGTCTGGAACAAGGACGTCATCACGGGCATGAAGCGGCTGGAGACGTGCGTCGGCGAGGCGCGCATCACGGCCCGGGACCTGTTGGACACGCTCCACGAGCTGCCGAAGCCGCCGACGGCCGCGGCGAAGAACCCGACGGCGACGGACCCGGCCGTCGTCGAGCTGCCCGTGCGGCCGCGCAAGGGCGCGAAGCGGCGCGAGCGCAAGCGGGCCGGCGGCACGGTGACGCTCCACTGCTGGCCGCCGCCGGCCTGGGCCGTCGCGCCCGACGACGACGAGAAGGCCGAGGACGACCGCGAAGCGGCGGGCACGAACCTCGACCTCTCGAAGCGGGACGAGAAGCCGCCCCTCGACGTCGGCGTCGACATCGGCGACGAGGACCTGCTGTCGCAGATCTCCATCGAGAGCGGCCTGAGCCTCGGCAGCGGCCAGCAGGCCGCGGGCGCGCCACCGGAGAAGCCCGCGACGCGCGGCGCGGCGCGCGCGTCGCGGGGCTCCAAGGACTCCAGGGACGGCGCCGCGAAGCCCGAGGAGCCGCCGGGCGCGCGCCGGCCGACGCGCATGCGGCCGGGCACGCGCGAGTCCATCGCCTTCGCGAAGCGCCAGACCGTGCTCGCGGAGGAGCGGGCCGCGCGCGACGAGTTGGGGGTGTTGGGCCGGCTCTCGGGCTCGCTGAAGCCGCCGCCGCCGAAGCCGAAGAAGGGCCTGCTCGGCGACGACCACGAGCGCCTCTCGCTCCAGCACAAGGCCGCCATCGAGGAGGAGAGCGACGCCAACGACTCGAGCGACGACGACGAGGGCTCGGGGCCGCCGCGCGACGACGGCTCCCTCGTGTCCGCCGTCTCCGAGGACACGACGCTCCGCGCGCCGCCGGACGACCAGGACCTGCCGCGCGAGGGCGACGCGTCCGCCGAGGGCGTCCGCTTCGCCGACGACGACAGCCTCGTCTCCGCGGTCTCCGAGGACACGACGCTCCGCGCGCCGCCCGAGGCCGGCGCGCCCGCGGCGGCCTACGAGTGGCACGGCGCGCTCACGGAGGTCTAACTGTGTGTGTGTGTGTTCCAGTCCTCGGCCTTGCGCGGCGGGCGAAGGCAGGGGCCGAAGTCCAGTCCTCGGTCTTACTCGGGGTCTCGGCCCGGTCTAAAGGGCCACCTCCCGGCCCTCGGCCGGCGTCCTCGGCGTCTTCTACCCGTAGAGGTCGTAGAGCCAGGCCTCGGCGCGGTCCACCCAGTCGCAGATGGGCGCCTTGTCGAGCCGCGCGAGGATGATGTCGCGCGCCGCGTGGACGTCCGCGGCCTCGAAGGGCGACGCGTCCGCGCACGCGCCGTAGTCGTGGCCGCCGCGGTCGTAGATCGCGAGCTGGCTCCGCGGCCCCGCGCGGTTCTCGAAGTAGTCCATGGACGCCGTGTAGCTCGCCGCCGCGTCGTCGACGGCGTGGGCGACGAAGGCCGGCGGCGCCCGGTCCTTGGGCGTCACGTGGCTCGACGGCGCGACGTCGTCGCCGGGGGGCAGGAGCGCGTTCAAGATCAGAAACGACGGCGTCGCCGGGGCCTCGTCGACCCAGTCGATGGGCCCGTAGGCCCGCTTTGCGCCGACGGCCCGCGCGGCGAGGTGCGCGCCCGTGTCGAAGCCCGCGACGCCGACGGCTTCCGCGTCGACGCCGAATTGGTCCGCGTGCGCGCGGACGTAGGACACGGCGCGCTGGAGGTCCGCCAGGGCGTCGTTCGACTCCTTCTTGCCCGGCTTCGGGATCTCCATGGGCACGCGGTACTTGAGCACGAAGGCGACGAAGCCGCGCGCCGCGAACGCCTCGGCGACGTCGTGGCCCTCGCGGTCGATGACGAGCGCGTCGTAGCCGCCGCCGGGCGCGACGATGACGCAGGGCTGCGCGCCCTCGACGTCGCTCCGCCGGCCCCGGGGCCAGTGCAGCGTGAGTGTCGGCACGGAGACGCCGTAGAGCCGCCGGATGCCGTCCGCGCCGACGCGGCTCACCTCCGCGGGCGCGGGCTCGGCCGCGTCGCCGGGCGGGCCGTAGGGGAAGAGCGTCGACGTGCCGTCGTAGTCCGGCTCCATGTGGTTCTCGTCGTTCAGGGGCAGCCCGGGCAGGAATTCGAGCTCCGGCTGCCTTTTCGGAGGGAGCGGCCCGGGCGCCGCGACGCGCGGCTTCGCGGAGGCGGTCTGGGCGGCGGCGGCCTCGGCCTCGGCCTCCTTGGCCGCGGCGGCGGCGGCCGCGAGCTCGCGCTCCTTGAGCACGGCGGCCTCGCTGGGCGGGACGAGCTCGAGCTCGCTGAGGACGCGCTGGCCCTCGGCGTCGTAGACGACGGGCGCCGGGTCCTTCCTTTTGCTGTGGACCACTGCGTGCTCCTTCTTCTTCGCGCCGCGCACGCCGCCCTCCGCGGCGTGCGCGGCCGCCGCCGCGACGACGACCGCCAGGAAAAGCATGCACGCGGTTGTTTGCGATTGTCAATACATCGTCCGAACTTTTTTGGGGCTGCCAAGAACTCAATCAAAATGCGAGAGGAAACTTCGCAAAGAGCAGTCGTATTGCACTCGAGTTGCAGAGAACAGGGAGGCCTCAGTAGGCTACTAGTACTAGTACTAGTGCTGTACTCGTAGCTAGCACCCCCCCCCCCCCCCCCCAACGCCCACCTCATCACTCCGCGGCGGCCGTCTCCTTGGGCTTGTTCTCGTCGAGGCGGATGCCGAGGACGTAGCTCGAGTTGCGGCAGGTCTGGAGCGTCTGCTCCTTGGTCAACACCCACTCCGTGGACCGGTGCTTCGCGAACGTCTCCTTGTCGCCCTTGGTCGAGTTCGCCAGCACGACCCGGTTGCCCTCGTGGTAGCGGCCGTAGCAGAAGTCGAGGAGGAGCGTCTTTCCGCAGGCTTCCGCGACCAGGAACTTGCCGTCGAGGTAGAACTGGGGCGCGACGCCGACGGCGTCGTCGTCCGTGGGCTGCCCGACGCCGAGGAACGCGTAGTTCATGCCGCCCGCGCAGGTCGTCTCGCCGTCCTTGAGCACGATGGCCAGGCCGCCCGTCGTCTTGATGGGCCCCCGCGCGTCCTTCGTCGGGAGCTTGGGCGCCTCGACGACGAACTGGCGCGGGTCCCCCTTCGGCACGAGCACGAGCGCCATGATCAGCTCGTCCGGGTCGCGCATGCCGCCGCCGAAGACCTGCTTCACGGCGTCGGACGCGTCCGCCGGCACGCAGGCGCGCGTCGCGGCCTCGTTGGACCGCACGAGCAGGCCGATCGTCGCGAGGATCTGGTCGAGGACGTACTTGTCGAGGTCGAAGTCCATGGGCTCGCAGCCGGGGATCTTCGACGCGGCGCCGTTGTAGGCCGCGATGCCCGTCTGCCACGTCGCCGTCAGCGTGTGCTTCTCCATGACGGCCTTGACGACGGGCTCCATGCTCTTCGCCAGCGCCGCGTCCGCGGTCTTCACGAGCGCGTCCGCGAAGGCGCCGCCGGGCTTCGCGCAGAGCTCGACCATGTTCTCCGCGGGCTGTAAGTCGGCGATGATCGCGTCGTAGCAGGCCTTCGTGCGCGCGTCCCGGGCGACGGTGAGCGCCGCGTCCTTCATCGACACGGCGAGCGCGTCGACGACGTTCGTGATCTCGCCCGCGAGCTTCGAGCCCACGAGCGGCACCTTGCCCACGGTCTCCGCGAGCCAGTAGAACGTGCCCGCGTTGGGCACGGGGATGGCGTACGCGGGCTGCGTCCAGGTGTCGAGCACGGCGGCGGCCGCGAGGGCCGACGCCACGGACGTCGCGAGCACGTCCGTCATGGCCTTGAACGCCAGCTGCTTCTGGAGCTCCGGGTCCATGGCGTGGAGCGCGGCGATGCGCTCCTGCTCCTCGGGCGTCAGCGCCTTGGCGGCGCTGGCGCTAGCTCCGGCGCCCATAACGCAGACTAGAAGGCTGCCCGCCGCCGGGGAAGTGCGCGGACTGCACCTTGCAGTGCATGCTTACGTCCGCCGCCTAGAAGATGCCGAGGGCGTCCTTCTGCTTTTTCTGTTTCCAGGCCGGGAGGCCGTGGAAGGCCGCGATGTCCATCTTGAAGTGGGTCGCGAAGTCGGCCTCGCTGAGGTAGACCTCGAGCTTCGTCGGGTCGACGTGGGGGAAGTGCCGGTCCGCCTTGAAGGCCTGGAGCTCCTCGAGCGTGAAGAGGCCGTGGTGGTCCGTGACGCGGTCCAGGTCGATCTTGTTGTTCTCGAGGTGCTGGCGGGCGACGGACATCTTGTGCCGCGCGGCCGACTTGGCGCGGCGGCCGCCCGTGTCGGCCGAGTCTGCGACGTCCGGCGAGAACCCGACGGCCTTCTTCGGCGGCGGCGGCGGCGCGGCGGCGCCCTCGTCGTCCGACGACGACACGTGGTCGTCGAGGTTCACCGTGTGCGTCACGGGGTTCGACGTCGCCCGGTGCCGCGGCAGCGACGACCGCCGGCGGACGGGCGCGGCCGCGGCGACGGGCGGCGCCGCGGGCGCGACGGGCGCCGGCGGCGCGACGGGCGCCGGCGCGACGGGCGCGGGCGGCGGCGCGGGCGCGGCGACGGGCGCGGGCGGCGGCGCGGGCGCCGCCGCGGCCAGCGCGGCCATGGGATTCATCTTCATCGAC